CTCAAAAAATACCTATAAAACTCAAATACCACACACACAAATTCTGTTGCCTCCTCCTCCCATTTCCCCAGGCAGAAATGATCTCCGACTCCTGAGGATGCCGCTCGCCTTTCAGCTCTACCTATCTCATTCATCAAGTCATTCAACTAATATTGATTAAGGATTTATTATGGGCCAGGCATTAGGTGGAGGCAGGCAAGGTCATTGGTCTTGTGAATAAGTATTTTAGATGGGGGGAGAGATATAATACGCAAGTAAACAAGATATTATTAGATTATGATGAGCAATTGGAGAGTAAATGACTTCAGAGCTAGACTTGATGGGGTGGAGAAGAAATGCCCTTCTAGGTAGATGGCATTTTAGTTAGGAGATGAATGATGAGCAGCCAGCCTCCCAACAATCTGGGTGAAAAAGATTTCAAACTGGGAAAAGAGCAGGTACAAAGGCACAGGGTAAGACTAGGCTTGGCATGTTTGAGGAATGGTATGGAAGCAGGAGGAGCTGAAAATTGATCAGGAGAGAGGGTTCTAGATTGTCACATGGACACAAGATGACACTGGGTATGTGGAAGATGGCCTGGGCACTTTGCTTTTTTCCCATCACATACTAACCACCTTTGAACTTGTATTGTATTTTACAGTGTTTATGTGTCTTGTTTTTCCTTCCTGACTGCAGACTAACTCTCTGAGAAACAGGACAATCACTTATTTGTTTTTATTCTTCTGCACATCTACCTATGGACATGGGTATGCATTACCTATGTTTGTTGGAAGGATGCATATGTCTCACTCTGGGGTGAAAATGAAGCTTATCCAGGCTCCTGAGGAAGGGTTGAGCTCACCTTTAAGTCTCTGAGCTGGTGCTTACTGCAGTCACTTTCCAAAAAGAGGGCAGGGAGACTGGTTAGAGCATGAACAGTATCTATAGGCAGAGCCTCCTGTGCTCTCCTGAGCCATGTTGCTGGCGCTGTCTGATTGCCTGATAGAATATGTAGCCTTTTCTTCTCTAGGATTTCTAGTTAATACTGTAAGGCAAACTCTTCGCACCTCAGCTTATATCCCTAAACTCATCTCCTTCCTTGTAATAGTTCATCTTCTCTGAGAGTTTACTCAATGATGTGGGATCCTCGATTCTTTATTATTCATTCTTGTCTTACCATCACCCACACTCCCAACATGCTATTCATATGCTGTAATTATATAAGACAGGGGTTTTCAACTTTGGCCATATTGACCTCATGGACTGGATGATTCTTTGTTGTGAGAGGGAGCTGCCATGTGCATTGTTGGATAGTTAGCACCATCCTGGTCTTGATTCATTGAATGCCACTAGGGGTTGTCTTTCCCCAAGTTCTGAAAACACATCATGCTCCCATAAATAACCAAATGTCTCCTGGGAACAAAACTGCCCTTGATTGAGAGCCACTGATAGAAGTCTACAACCAAGAGGGATCTTGGAGGTTATTCAATTTCTCCTCATTCCCTCATTTCACAAATGAAGACACTGAGGCATGGAGTAATGAAATGATTTGCCCAAGGTCACACAGATTGGTAGTAATGCAGGGCATGGACTTCATATTGTAAAATATCATTCTGATGCTTCCTTTAGCATGGTGAAATCCCTTGAACTGGAAAAGGCCAGCTGCTTGACCTTGAGTTCTGAGCCTGCATTTCCTCTTATCAGGGTAGTAAATCCCTACCTTGCAGGGTTGTTTGTGTAAATGAGATCATTTGAAACCCTTGCAACCTACGCAGTATGCAGTTGGTGTTGAGCAAATGCTGGTTCCCATTCCTTGGAGTGCTACAGAATGGGCAAGCAGTATTGAGCAGGAGGAGTTGGAGTTGTCACTAGGAGGCCTCAGAGCTCCCATGGAAGATGAGGCCAATGGGCACTGCCTTCCAGTGGACTATGTTTAAAATGCAGCTGGTGAAATTTGGTTTCTATAATGGAAACAGCCAAGTAATTTTCCAGTTTGGAAAATAACCGGCTGTGGTTGAAGGCTGACTCATTTGACAAAGTTGGTTTTTTTCCTTTTCCTTAGGAGATACTTCTATGACAATCTTATGTCCAGAGTCCTGTGCTTCTCCTTTCCCCAGCAGAATGTTGTATTATAAGCTTGCCTAAAGGATATAAGGAGAACTTGGAGCTCAAGTTGGGAACTGTATTTTTTCCTTTTCTTTTGTCAGATGAATATAAGGACATTTTCTCCTTTAGAACCATGGAGATGGTGTGTGTGTGTGTGTGTGTGTGTGTGTGTGTGTGTGTGTGTGTGCGCGCGCGCACACACATGCACGAGTGAACACACTTTTCTGGAACTCAAACTCAAGGCCTTGAAATTCCTTGGCAAATGCTCTATCACCGATCTATACCCTCTGCTCAGGACTATGGAGATTGGATACATTGGATACTCTGGACTATATTGTGTAGCCAAAGCTCCTACTCACTGCGGATTCAGGACAAAAAAATCATGAGATATAATTCAGAGGTCCAATATTGGCCATCTTTTAGTCTTTATTCCTGGCTTTCACAAGAAGTATAGTCCCCTTGCTCCACAGACAGTCTCAGGATAAAGAGTGTGCACAGAGCAGAAGGAAAAGAGCACACCAAACAAAGTGGACACCAGGAAACCTGAGTTTAGGTCTTATTCTGGCTATGGATCAATAGCCCTAATAGAGTGCTTTGTAATTTTCAAAGAAGTTTTAATAAATGCTTTCTTTGATAATTCAGGTCCAATTGTACTTTCTCTTCTGACTGCACATTACAATCACCTGAGAGTTCAAAATACAACAGCCTGAAATAATAGTAATAATAATAATAATAATATTGTCTATGCTTCACCTCAGACCAACTAAATCTGGAGATGTATCCTGGACATTGGTGATTTAAAAATTTCCATGAGATTCTACTATCTGGTCTGGGTTGAAAAGCACTGCCTATGTTCAGACAGGATGTTGCATCTCTTTGATGAGTAAACTGATACTTGGGGTAGTTCAGTTTGTTTTCTTATCCAAGCTTGAAAGGCAGAGCAGGGAGGACAAGCCAGGGACAAAGGACCTTTCCACTGTTGTTTCTCTACCCGTGGTGTGAACCTGGGGCAGGAGCTTCTCAGGAACTCCAGTTTCTTATCTGTAAAGTGGGATATAAATGGACCCCATAGAATATTTTTCTTAGAGTGCACGTGTCAGCATTTGGCAAGGAATGCATTTGTGATCTTGACTTTTATTTAAGATAGGATGACTTTTAAAAAATATAAACTTCAGTGAAAGTTATTCCATGCCAACTTTTACAGAGCTTTGCTGATCCCATTTGAGTGCCTAACCAGGGTATTACCAGATAACCAGAAGAATAGGAATATAAAGGATTCAAGAAAAAGCATTGGCTGATCTTGACTTCTTTACCTCCTACTTTCCTCTGTGTGGCACACAGGAGACATGAAAGTCTTGTGACTTCTAGGGATTTGGGATGGAAGGGACATCAGAAGATATGTATTTTAGCTGTCACACCTGCAGCATCTCCTTGACAAGGACTTGTCCTGTCTCTAGGTCGATAACCTAATTCTACTGTGGGGTAACTTTGACCATTAGTTGGATCCTGCCAAATGCATTATCCTGTACCTCACAAAATTGATCCTGGACTTGCCACACAGAAGAAGATAGCTCCCTTTTTCCCCACAATGAATGGCCCCTGAGAACCTTCTCTAGGATTAATCAGGGACCTGGTTTTCAGTCTCCTTCTAGTCTGCTTGCTATTCTCCAGCCTAGATCTATTTTAAAGAGGCTAAAAGTGGGATTCTTTTCCCCTTCCCCCTTTTCATAATCCTGTCTGGATTAGTGATTTCTCCCAAAGGCTTTCCCAAAGGAATGGTAGGTGGAAGCTTTACTCATCCCATTTTCAATTACTCTGGCATAACAGGTTGGTAAACAACTGCTTACCTCGTATTTTCCTGGTCGTCACTCATTGTGACCTGGTTAACAGTGAGATGAATAGTTACGGATGTAAAAGTTTGGGATTCAGGCAGATATAAGTCAAATTCTGGCTTTGTCACCCGATTGAGAGCAAGTTACATGATTTCTTTGTGTCTCAGAGTCCTCGTCTGTAAGGCCCTACTCTGAGAGCCACAGCCACAATACGCAAAGTATGAAGTATGCGCAGCACTGTGCTCAGTACAGGTTAGACTGTGTTACTACAGCCATTATGGCCATTATCTAAACTATTTGATAGTAAAGCATTAGAGATCATGTTTCTCTGCCTGTCAGCTGGTGTTCAGTGCCTCTTCACCCAGGGGCACCCGAGGTGTGATCAGGTGACTGCAGGAGGGTGTGAGCAATGAGAGCTTCACCCGAGCCTTCTAGCTTTTCTTCCTTCTCCCGTCCCTTTTTTGCTACCATTAGAGCTTTCCTGCTTTATGTGAGACCTTTGATCCTTGATAATATGCACAATCCCTTGGAAAAGAAAATAATTGATGCTTCTCTTTATCATCAGGATCTAAGGGTCAACAGAGCCAAATCCTTTACAGGAAGCCCACATTACTTGAGGGAGAAAAAGCTTTGAAGCAAGAACAAGGGTCATGGAGGATCGAAGGATCAAGGATATCTAGTGGGGAGCCTGATTTCGAGTTGGTTCTTGCTGTGACTTTGTGTACACATCATAACTATGCTTGGACTGCAGTTTTGGAATGTCTGGGAGACAATCTCTGTGAACCATCCACTTCCCTAGAGTACCATGAGGACTCCAAGTCAAACTCAGTTGTTGATGAGATTGGAGCTGAAGTCCCTGAATGCCAAATATCACTCTTTGTCATTTTATATATATATAAAAATTCTATTTGGATGAATAACTTGCAATGTTCTAGGCCAGCTGAAGTGACCTGAGAGCTGTTTGTGAGTTGGGCACAGTGGTCATTATTAAAAACTGACTAGTTTTAGGCTCAGCAATAAGAAAATAGCAATCTCTAGATCCCTGGCTTCAGAAATGGTACAAAAATGGAATGGACAAAAATGGAAAGTAGATAATGGATCCACAGTGATTTAATTCTCGGTGATATTTTCATTTTATGCAAATACCAAAAGAAAGAAAAAATACTTGGCTATCTGAAAGAAAAATAGGAACCAAAAAATGTTTAGTGTTTGATCAAGCAAGAATCCTTTCACACATCTGCCAAGAGAGTTAAAACAAATATAGATGTTAAATAAAAGGCCCAAGTACCAAAGAGCAAAATTTAATGAAAGCCAGAACTGTTAAGTATGGATTCCTGTTGAGAAAAATGTCAGTCTCTTTCAGAGTTTTCCCGTTGCTCTATTTTTAAGAAAAGTATAGTAAAAATACATAATACAAGTTAACTTTTTTCCTTGCTTGTTTTCCCATCACCCATCCATTGATGAAAAGCATCTTCTGCTGGATCTTGGACCCCCCCACCCCCCCACACATGGCATAGCCTCTTATTTTTAGCACAGACAGTCTCTTCCTATTAGATCACATAACTGGTAGGCTCAATGGCTGGAGAGTATCTTGCCAGGCCAAAGGCAAAAAGTCTTTGAAGCATGTTGATGGTAGAGGGCTATTTCCAATTCTTCCAAAATGCAGACTCCCTAATGGTGGGTCACATCAGGTTCTACAGTGGTAGGCTAAGGGCTGAGAAAGTCTGTGTGGGGGAGGGGCTCTGGGGGACCGTAGCTGGCAGTAATGAGAAGTGATAAGCCACCTTGAGTGTGCTGCTTCATGTACCATGCCCACATTAACAAGTGAGAAACTGAATAACACTGGAGTTGAAGGGGTGAAGCATTGGTTTTGGAATAGTTATTTGCTATGGCTGATGAAAGAAGAATAGGAGAGACATAGAGATGGTGGGTGTCCATTGAGAGAACATACAGATGAAGCCCATCACACCCCATTGGTAGGTTCCAAAATCTTTAGGCTTGTCAATTATTAATGTAACCCCTATCAGAGAAGATTGGATGGAAGTAGGGGACAAGGGAATAAGCCAGAAATGACACACACTGAATCATGCACCCAGGAGTGTGGCTGCTGGAGAGCTGGAAGCCAATTGCTCCAAGACTGATATTTGGGGTCTCCAAGAAAGCTATGTGCCAGTGACTCCCACTTGCAACCAAAATTTTAGGCAGCTTGGGCTTCTCTCCAAGAAACTTGTCACTTCTCCAGTGTTGCTTCGCTCCAGATTTGTAGTTGCAATCATGGGTGTATTGATTCTGGTCATTGGAATAGAATGTCTTCCTTCTGTTTTTAGCTAGGAGGAAGATCAGCCTTTTGGGGTTAGAAATTGGTCTCTGGGATCTTAAGGTCCCCTGATATTATTATCAACTTAAACCATCTCCCTATTCCCTTTAAAATAATTCAGCCCTGGGCATCTTTCTTTCTAAAGATGACAGAACATTATTTGGCCAGATGCTAAAACAATTCTATTAACTTTAAAAAAAAATCTCTGCATCAGCATGGCCCTAAACTTCATAGTTGATCTCCCAAACCAAGAACAGGACACTCTATGGAAAGCTCCATTGCATGTGGGCTTTGAAGAGGCTTCCTCTTCCCAAACTCTTCCACCACCTGTCTTTTGCACTGAGTTGCATAGCATCAACCCTCCCATCAGAGGCTCCGCAGAGAAAGAGAGTCTACTCCACAAGGGGGTTCCTGCTGAGATGTCAAGCAAAGGAAAAGTGAGAATCATGGGTGATATCTCCCTGGCTGTCAGCTCTTTCCAAGGCTTGACTTGGTTCAGGAAGTCGAGTTCCCATTAGCTTTTGAGCCTGAGCATGGCAGAACAACAACTCAGGGCTGAAGTTGACTCTCTGAAGAAAGATACCATTACTATCTATGGCCTTCCGAGTGACTCTAGCACATTAAAGAAACCTTTTCCTGAGCAGCAGTCATTTTACGAGTCCTCCTCCATCTGCACATCTGCCCTTGCCCTCTCCACCACCCTCTTTCTGAATTGCTTTTCACATGTGATCTTGACTGGATCAGTGCTTAGGTCTCTGGGGAAGGCAGCCCATTTCTCCAAGGTCAGTCTTCATCCAAGGCTCGGGGCCAAGGAGTGGAGGGTACTGTGGAGAGCCCCCATGGGGAATTCGTTTGAAGTTTGCTTTATTCCTTTTCTTGCTTGTAAGGTGGAACAAATCTTGAATCTCCAATCTGGAAACTGAAGAGGGAGAAGAAGGGAATTGGGAATGAGAAGAAAGAAGAAGGAAGGGGCCTAACAGAACCTGCAGACCATGGATTAATTAATAAGAAAAAAAATTGCACACACTAAGACACATTAACAACAGAATTAAAAGAAAAACAGTCTGGTTTCTTCATTAGTATTCCAGTAATTCCATTTTCCGAGACATAGGCTTCGTTAGACAGGTTTACTTGTCCCTTATTGCAGTACAGTGTTATTTATCATCCTCACTGAGCAAACATAAAGGACTCAAAGAAGATCAAAAAAGGAAAAGGGTCAGCAAAATGGGTTGTGAATTCTTCAGGAAAATCGGTCGAATCGTCCTCCTCATGGTTGCGGTGGTTGGTTGGCGGTGGTGTTTCATTTTGTTGTCATTTTTTTTGGCACTGAAGGGTTTGGGATGGGGCCAGGGGAGCCTGAGCCTGCTCCCCAAGGGGTTTTCGTCTGCTCCCGTTATAATCCTGTGGCTCCCAAGGGCATCCCTGAACTGTGGCTCATGCAGGGAATGGATTGCATGGACTTGGGGAAGTCGTGGCTGACCACCCGGCCATTCTCTCCGCTGCCACTGCCGCTGGCTCCTGCCCCACTGTTTCGGGGGAGGGTCGATGTCCGTATGGCTTCGTTGATGGATTGCTGTGGGATCAAACAGAAACCCTTTTCAGGAGGACCGGGGGTTCTTCCCCAGGTCCTTGGCAATGGTTGGTAAGGGGAATGAGTCAAGTCTGGACCTAGAATAGAATCCCAGTTCTCCTCCCCATCCAGCTGCTCTCCTGTCCATAATGCTAAGCTTCCCATCAACTCACACACCTGGTGTGTGGCTGGCTCCGGGCAGTTCTCTTCCCCCTCCTTGTGCATTGGGTTTAATGTTTAATGAAGTGGGTTAGACCAGGCGAGCTCTAAGTTCCTTTCTGGTTCTTACATTCTGTGATTCTTAAAGGTGGAGTATTTCCACGGTATTATTGATGGTGGTAAATACAGCATCACCACCAACTGGAAAACCTCCTGGAATGATGTTTAAGAAATCTGGATTCTAGCTCTGGTTCTGACAAAAATTCATCTATCAGTTGTATGACCTTGTGCACATCTCTTTACTACTTTTTCAGACCTTTAAATCTCCATGTCTATAAGATATGATTAGCTAGGCATCTACAGACTTTTCTATTTTTCAGCATCTACAGACTTTTCTTTTTTTTGATAATGGTGCTACCTCATAAAAAATGGTTTGAAATGTTAAAAGAAACTGAGGATGTTGGGTTCAAATGAAAAACTACCTGATTTTTTTTTAACAGAAAAAAATAATACCATCCTATTTCTAGCAGTATGTGTGAAGGGAATGTAGGATTTGTTTGAATAAGACAGCATGAAAAATGTAACTGGAAAGGGGTGTGTGCTGAAGAAAATGAGAGTGCATTTCCAAGATCATTATCTGTGTGCATCTCCTTCCCATTCACATGTGTCACCTGAACTTTCAGATTGACACATCAGACCAACTTTGTGATTTCTAGCATTTTGGAATTCTAGATTTGGAAAGGACTGAAAGGATCTCCCCAGAATCAGATGTGTTAAGTGGACTGTTCAAGGCCACAAACTAAGTCTAGAATCATAGCCTATTAGATCAAAGATTTCCTTTGGAATTCCTTTGAAGAAAGAAACGATGGCATGAAAGTCAAAACTTTCTTTATGTCTACCACCAACTTCCCATTAAGAGACAATCATAGAATGTATAAAGTGGGGTTTGATTTCTTGGTAGAAATTAAAATAAAGGAGAAGAGTTGTCTCTGGGTTGAGAGGTTTCTTTCTCTAAGACCAACCCCACCCACTCTTCAAGGCTTATTTTGTTCCTGTCTGCCTCTTAAGCCTTCCAACCGCAAGGCTTGGCCCCTCTGATGTCATGGTCACATGCTCTACATTCTTTTGTAATGATTCTGCTTCAGGCGGGTAAGATTTGTCTTTTTTTAGGACAAGAAGACAAACCTCACCAGAGCAGGCCAAAGGCCTTATCGTCTGGACCCCGGCTACCTGTTAGAGGGACTACCATGCAGTTAGATGTTTAATAGGAAATATTCTTGAATTTGTCTGAGAAAAGTCAATAACCTAGGATCCTTTTAAAAATGTCTATGTCTTTCTCCCTTGCCATGATTCCAGAGAAATCAGTCCATCTTCTGGGGTCAGGAAGAGATATAACAGGCAATTTTGACCTATTTTTTGCCCCTGCCATTCTTTTATTACTGAAAATTCTAACAATGTTTTAAAATGTTCTTTCTTTTTTAAATTCATGATTCAGACAGATTTACCCCATGTGATACTCCACCCACACTGGTTCTGTCTCCTCCTGAAACCCTGGACTTGATGTATTTACATTCTCCTTTGGCAGTCCTCCATGGCAGAGGAAGTGTCATTGGCATCACATTCTTCTAAGTCAAAGGCCAGATAAATACCACTGTGATGCTACACAGGGAAATGTGAACTGAAAACACGAAGAATTAATAGTTCCTTATTCTCACCTAAAAAAAAATGTTGAAAAAAACTAACTTTTTTTGTGGGGGGGGAGGGTATATGGGTAGAAAACATGGAACTTTCTATAGCTGAGCTTGGAATGTTTATTCTTCATAATATTTCTCTGCCACATTCCTTTAATTAAAAAAAAAAAGGTTGAAAGTTCCCACAGATGACCTTGGACTTTGTCTTCACAATGCTTACACATTCCCATAATATTTAATTATAAGTTGGTGGAACTTCATGAATTTATCTTAAAGGACAAGATCAATGGCATTGAGAAGATGAGCATTTCTCAGAGGTCAGTGACTTCATATCCCTGTTACAGATGGGACCCACCTTCTTACAGGCTTCTCTTCTAGTAAAGGAGTATATTGGAATCTCAGGAGAAGAGATGAAAAGAGTGAATGGAAATGGAAAGCAATGCTGAAAATCCAGTAGAACACTAGTTCTCAAACTTCATAGCACATTGGAGTCTCTAGGGTATTTGGTGGGGAAAACCCTGTGGCCTGAATCTTACCTCAAGAGATGACCACTTAATAGGTATAGTGTGCAGTCTGCCCATCTGGAGTTTTGAAAGCTCCTGGCTGATTCTAAAATGCAAGCAAGGTTGAACTGATCTGGTTTCTCCCATTCATTCGTTGGTTGCATACGACCAACTTGTTGAAGTAACAGTCATCTGACCCGGTGAAAAAGTAGATGATCTTCTAAATGAGGTTTTTCCTACTCCTTATAGCTAAGCTCCCATTAGCTGAAGTAATTCCTGCCCTTGACCTTGAGAAATGTTATCCTTTCTTCTCCCTCTTCGATACACCAGCCATTCTTAAAGCTCATCCTTATGTTGTTTCGAAACGGACACTTAGGGAGAAAAAGGTGAGTGAGAAATCCAACTTCAAAGCCCCCAAGTTGGCTTTTTAGAGGCATATTTCTCTAGCAGCAATCACAGCCTCTCATTCATCTGTATTGTTAAGAAAAATCTTCCCAGCCTCAGCGTGTCAGAGAATATCCTAATAAAGACTCAAATCTCAGTAATGACCTCACCCAGGCACATATGCAAAGAACTAGAGTGACCACCTGCAGCAGAGGATGCCCCCCCTCTGTTATCTAGTCTCTCAGCTGCTCATTAATTCAAGGAAAATGTGTAAGCCTTCAATTGCTGTTGCTTAAACACTTCCCATGTTAGCACAGCCACATATAATTTTGAAAGGTCAGCAGCTCTCGTGGGGGGTGGGAGAGGCTGGGGATAATTTTCCTTTGGGAGCAAGGTGGTGAATAAGAAGGAATCTGATTATTCTGGATATTCATCAGCTGAAGATGAAGAGGCCAGTCCATATTTTCCTGGCGGAGGAGAAGGGCAGGGGATCTGAGACTTCACTCAAAACAGAATGTGTGTGAGATTGTTTATTTTGGGCTACTCTAGGACAAATCAAATTATTCTAAATATTTGGTCTGCCTGAAGTCTCCCTCTTGAGTCCCCATCTTTCCCATGACACCCATTCCTTCAGTCTTTCTGGGTGCCGATCTCTCTGGCCTTCTTTACATTTCTGGGCAATAGTTTTAGTGCTTGGGTCTCTGAACCTAGTCATCCTTTGCTAGAAGCTCTCTTCTCCTGGTTCCTTCCTCTCATGCTTCAGGTCTGTTAAGCATTGATTTCTCAGGGAAGCTACGCTGCCTGCCCTGTTCCCATTCTTCCATCAGTCTAGAGCTCAGCTCTGTACCTGACAACACGGAGCGTATTTCTCAGTAATACTCATTGGACAGGTAAATGTTTGTTTACTTTCTGTCTTCCTCACCAACCTCCCAGCTTCCCGAGAAGAGAGGCTGGGCTTGATGTTGTTCCTGAACATATCCTCCTCCGTGTGGGGCATTGTTTAATGTACAGCAGTGCATCTTCAAAAGAGGAGTGAGTCTCAAGAATGCTCAGCAAGGGGTATGGACCGTGGTTCACCTCAACAGCTAGATCAGGGATATCTAAGGGTGGTCATGCGCCTTATTTGTCTTTGTGGCTGGTACTATGGTTGCAGTGAAGAGTAGATGGAACTTCAAAAATTAAGGGTTGGGTTGATGAATAAAGACAGCATCTCTTCTGCAGTTGGAAGATAGAAAATCCCATTCAGAGCTCCAGTGAGTTGTGCAGAAGCCATGCCGACCCATGGAATTAATTAAAGAGACTATGATGAAAAAACGTTGAATTAATGTTTCCAAGAGTTCCTGAGATTGAACATCTTGGTTGTAAAAGGGAGGGTGACTGACATCATATTTTATGAGCACAAACAGATGGGGTCAAAATGACCTTGGATGGTGTTTTTGTGCTTCCTGGGATGGGTAACTTAGATGGTAGCATTTATTTAACCTAAGAGTGGCTTGCTCCCATACTTTGCCTCTTCCTCCAAGAGGTTTTTCTCCTCTGGATACAATCCCACATTAATTTTTTACCAATACTTACTCTAAGTGGGTAGAATGTACAAAAAGAATCAGACAGACCCTCTTAACTTAAGGAACTCATAGTCTCTATAGCTCAAAGCACCTAGCACATGAAATTAGGGGCAATAAAAGGAAAGTTTTAAAGAAGATGTTATTGCCCACTAATAATGATGATTATTATAAATGCTAGTAATCATTGTTATTATTGTTATTTATTGAGGGCTTACTCTGGCTTAGGCATTTTGCCAAGCCCTTTAACTTCATTATTTCTCATAATTCTCATAATTCTATGAGGTGTATACTACCATTGTCTTCATTTTTTTTAAAAAAAACTGAGGGTCGGAGAATTACTAAAACTAGAGCAAGATGCCACAGTTAAGAAATGAAGCAGATGGATTGATGCCCAGCACTCAGCCTCCTGAGCTTGCTCTCCAGACCACCACATTGCACAGTGTCCCAGGGGTCAATGAGAAGGGATTCCTATTTGTTTGTGTTGGGCCAGCTCTGGGTTTCTGGTTCAGTTCTGGTCCATGGGGAAGGTTTTGGGGATGGTAAATGTTGTAGCTCACCCAACTCTTAACCTGTCTCCTTCTTTGCCATTGGAGCAGCCTTTGCAAAGTAGAGCTTTTAGGCTTGTATTTTGGATAGAATTGTCAAAAAAGGCTTTGTTTGGGTTTTGCTGTGTTTAGCCTTGCTTCTTACAGGTTGATGCTGGACTTAGGGTCCAAAGTCAATGATTTTGCTGTGGTTTCCTTTTCTGAGAGAACCTGGGAAAGGGTGAGCTGGTCAAAGGCAGGACTGAGGTGTGCTTAGGTCCTTGGGCCAAAAACAATCATGCTTCTATCCCTTGATTGATCCTTGTTATTACATCTCCAGGAAGTTACCCTTTAAAGTGAGCCCTATGGGACAGGTTGGAGGATAAGCCTGCATAAAGGCACATGAGAAACACACACTGGGTGGATGGAGCATGCAGGTTGTGAGCATAGCTGATTGCCAGCAAGGCGGGCAGGAAGTATGCTGAGATGTGCTAAGGCAATATTGCCACGCCAGGACAGAAGGTCTGATTACCAGGACAGAAGGTCCTCTTTCTCTACCCCCACCTCCTCTTATACAGAAGTGAATACAGAATTTACAAATGGAATGTCCAGAAATGTCTTCTCCAAGGGTAACCCTGGATGTATGCATAGGACAGATGGCCTAATGCAGAGACAGGATGAACAGGAGGCTACCACACAGGTGATCCGTGAGTGTGTACTAAACTTGGGAAAGTGAACTTCTTAGACACATTCCAGGAAAGCAAATCCTACCTTGGATCTTGGATCATATTGTTGAGGTAACAACCTAGGCCAACATACTACCGCTCAAATGTGGTCCTGAGTGACTGTACTTCTCTTGCCTTCTCTGAATTTCTCCTTAATTTCTCTTAATTTCTCCTCTCTCCAGACACCTTACTCAATTTCTCCTTCCTTTGAATTCCTACAGAACTTCCTAGCTACACCATAGGTTGCCTTGTGGTGGAGTAATGTTTCTGTATTCCTTCTTTGTTGAAGTTCAAAGGTGCTGAAGATCTCAGATTACACTTTAGTCCTCTGTTCCTCAGGACTCTTTGCTCATGGAATGGGTCACATGATTGATTAACTACCATAAATATTTTCTTACTGAGGCTAAATGATGAAATATGAGGGGCTATGAAGGTCATTTAATCCAAACCCCTTTGAATGTTCAAATCAATATCCTTACCCGGAATTCTTCACCCTCTACTGTATACCTTCAATGATGGGAAGCTTGTTCCTTTTTTGGATTGTCCTTCTCACTTTTGAGTAACTTTTTTCTTTTAGAAAGGTAGATTCTGTACAATGTATTAACATCTGTGTTCAATCACTTATACTCATTACTTTTATTGTTTATTTTGGATCGCCATAGAACTAGCCTGGTTTCTTTCCACTTGGAGAGTTTTCATGTTTTCATCAAGAGCTCTCAAATCCTCCACACTTCTTCCCTTCTCCAGTTGCCTGAAGCTGTATTTGATGCGGTTAGGGATCGTCTAACTAATTTGCTTACCTTTCTCTGTTCACGATCCTCCTGGCCAGTATCTATCTCACAGTGTGGAGGCTAAGACCCCGTTTACCAAGCACGGCAAGAGCAGCACAGAGCAGAGGGTAGACATAATTTCCCCTATCTGGGGAACTACCTTTCTGTTCTCTGCAGCTTTTGCAGAGATCACTCTTATCTCTCACTCAGCCAACTGCCCACTCAGACCTCTGTCTAACCTTGAACCTCATCAAACCATCTCTGTAGCATGCAGTTGCTCTCCTGAGCCCTGTGGTTTCCCTGACATACCCCATCTTTCTTTCTTTCTCGCAATTGCCTCTGTCCTGTCACTTCCTCCTGACAACTCTCTTCCCTTAGCTTAGGCTGTCTTACTTCAACCACCACTACTCCCCACCCTTTCTAGCAAGGACACTCTCAAGAAAACCAGCTGTATCACAGAACAGGTTAGGAAAAAGGCCTGGGAAGACGATGCCACCTTCATCCGCTTGGATTCACTACGGGATTTGTAGCAGAACTCGATTAAGGCAACCAGCATGGCTAGTCCAAGTCCTCCGATCAGGATGTAGAACACGCCCGCCACATTGCTGAGGCTCAGTGCACTTGTCTTGTCCTAAGGAGAGGAGGAGGGGAGGAGGGGGAGGGGAGAAGAGATAAGTGAGTCAAGAGGCAAAGACCATCCAAGCAACAGCATATTTACACACATACACTCAACCCCGCACCCTCTTAACGTTCGTAATAGTTGGAAAAAGCTTATTGGCTGAATGTTAAAACATTCCCCAAGAGAAAAATGTGTGTGTATATATTTAATAATTTCCCAAGCATTCCTGGTGATGTAAAATTTATAATTATATTTCCCTTCTCCTCAATGCCTCTCCTAGGGTGGGAGATGCCACGAGAAATTCAGGGCATCTTCTTTCAAGATCTGAACACTTGAGCTTACCCCATTCTTTCCTTCCTTTTCAGTGTGGTCTCTACACCCATACCTTGTTGCTCAGCAACACACTGGAATTGCTCATGGCTTATGTCTCCATGCATTTTTTTTCTGAGAGTTGGTACTTAAAATGAACTTTCCCCTAGATGTGCATTTGATTTCAATTTAATAAGACAGTTATTGTAGTATAATAAAGACCCAGTGATGTACAACTTTAACTTGATGTTCCCAGTCCCAATTTAGGGGGAAAAAAACCTGGGGAGGGGAGACTGTTGCAGTAGTAGAGAGACACTGAGATAGAAAAATGGTTCCATTAAATCCTAATAATTATGCTTAATTGGTGCCATTTTTTTTCTGGAGGTGTTTGCTGAAAAAACACTGTAGGCAGACCTAGGTGGCTGAATTTAAAAATCCCTGTCGCCTATGGGGGAAGATCTGACATTGGCTTTGGGTGAACAGAGTCACAGAGCAAAGTGCTTAATTCCTAGAAGACAGAATCCCAGTACTGTCATCCAATAGGAGGGGATAGAACTCACCCAGTGGAGTCTGAGGAAGTCCATTGGTCAGAGAGACCATCTCTGAGTCCTGTCATATACAGGGCGTTCAAAAGTGGGCAAATAAGAGACAACACTTTCCCAAGTGTTGAGAGGTGGGACCAACCAAACAAAACTGTTGGTCATGGTGGAGAGTAATGGCTCAGGCAGAGGGAGTGGCTATTCAAAATCTTGATACAGGCAAAAAAATCTTTAAGTCTTGGAAGGATCCCCATCTCCAGACATCTAATGCCTTTGTTTATACTGTTTGTTAATATACAACAAGTGTCTCATTAAATTAAAATGAAATGCATGGCTCACTGGCACAAATACACATTGTCATTGTCTAGTTGGTGGCACTGAATAGGATGTGTGACTTTTACACCTCTCTGTGTGTTCCTTTTCAGGTGGGCTATAGGAGCCACACAAGGGGTGGACTGTGTGACCCTGGGATCTCCTCTGACATCTGCCTATTAGGATCTGGGCATGTGGGTAGGAATTTCGTCTTTACCAAGTCTACGTCCTTTGCTGTAGTTCTACTTGGTGCATTGTACAGGATTCAGCAGGGCTGAGTTTGGGGACTGCAGCTGGCAAATCGCAGCATGTCTTCCCACCCCAGAAGCAGCAGAGCTGTAGGATTATCTGAAGCACACCCCCTTGGTGGCTTCCTGTATTGCTAAAGCAGATGGTTCTTGAATATAGGTTACACTTGGCAAGGCATAGTCTGGCTTTGGAAGCAGTGGGAATAATTATTCAAAGGGGCAAAAATTCTTCCGCTCCAGGATAATGGTCTGATAAGAGATATGTGCAAACTGATTTTGGTGCCTGGTTTAAGAGTTGATTGAACAAGTAAATTTCCATTTCATATCATCTTCAGAGCACTCAGAATGTCTCCCTGTTTGTTGTTGAGGAGGTATGTCATTCTTCCTATGGAGAGTAACTCTTCCCAGTCCTTGGAAGACTTGAGAAATTCCTATAAAACTTTTCTATTTGGAGGGGGCCACAGAGAGAAAGGCATCTTGATGCATCATCTGCTCACATCTTAGCAAAGAGCTCTGTGCAGAGGGAGTGGATGGAAGAGGTGGTAGACGAGAAGGATGGAGCCTTTACAAATGGATCAGCGGTTCAGTAGTTGAGGTGAAAAGTACTCCTTTGGTAACGAAAGCTATTTTCTTCCTAATAGTCTTTCCCAATTTCACCTAAGTTACGGTTGGCCATTAAAGATAAGGGAGTGGTAAACATCTTTTTTTTTTTTTGTTTTGTTACTATCTTCCAAAGACCCTAAGAGGCTACCTGTCTTCCTGACTATAGAAGATGGAATTTATACTTCCGGCATGTCTAGAAGGAAGTAGGGTCAGATATTCAAATGGAAGGGGCGGGGAGAGGAGGCATGTTCTCTATAACTGTGCAAAGAGAAGGGTCCAATGACTGAACATCTCATCCTGCCTGGAGGTGGAGAGCATTGCTCACTTTGGAAGAAGGTCTCTGGTCCAGGGAGATGGTGACCTGTGTTGGGGGAGGTGGGGATTCAGGAGAACACAACCCAGACAAAGAGGCCAGCTGGAGAGTATGGGAACTCTGGACCTCACAGGACACACAGTCACTGATCCTTATTTATGCTAACACAATTCTATGGCAGCAGGCAGTACGGAAGACTTCTGTATTGCAGGGATAACATGAGCCTCATTACCACCAATAGCAGATGGAACCCAACTCTCTGAAGTGGCATCATTTAATAGGGTGTGGGGTGAAGGGCTGGTGTTGGTATAGTCTAAGTTTACACAGTTGAGGTGTTTACATTTACACAAGTTTTTATGATTCCTTCATGAGGGCCATTAGATTTTTGATAGTATCAAATTTAAAACTTTCTAAGGAGTCCAAGGTCTTCTGTTACTGACTCTCTTTGACTCACTCTGTTGGAAAACAATGGACCATCCTGAGGCAGGAGCAAGAACCCCTTTTATTTGAGGACTAGAACTCTGATTCCTTGTGGTATTGAGTATAAACAGAGATGATCACACTTCATAGGCAAGTTACAAGCTTCCCAGCTATGACCAGGGAAAGGGAAGAGACAGGACTTAACTCTTCCCAGTGTTCCTTTGGGGAACCCTATTCTCCTCCCATCTTATAGCAGCTGCACTCCTCAAAAGCCTGGCAGCTTGTTGGTGGGAGTGAAAAAGTTACAACTTGTCTCTCGCCAGGAGCAGGGAAAGAGAGTGACAGTACTAAGGAGAGTGACAGGTGAAAAGAAAGAGAAAAATCCCGTCTTTCAGAATCGTTGGGCTCGTTGCTATGGCGATGAGGCCCCCTTCATCTGTTCTCCTTAACCTGTTGTCTTTGATTCACCACCTCCCTCATGTGGAAAGGAAAAAAAAAAAAAAGATTTTTTTCCTTATTTCTCCTTGCTCTTCCCACATATTGGGGGATTGTCCCAGATTCCCTCTGTGTTTCTCAGCCAACATCTCTTCCAAGAATATTCAAGATTTCCAAGACTCTGCAGGCTCAAGTTTTCCAGAGGAGGACTGAGCTAGGCCTGAGCCAGAGAGGCTTAGAGTTTTCTTTAGAGCAGAAGTAGAAAGTTCTATGGAGAAGCCAAGGCCTTTGAACATGAGCCCAGTCCCTCCCACTGGTGCTGCTCATCACCCACGGCTGGTGAACATGGACTGAGGTTCAATGTCTCCAAATACTTCCAATCCTTCTTCTCCCTCTGGTAAGAGTATGAACTCCTACAAAGCAGAGGATGAAGCTTTGGTTCCTCTCTTCATTCCTCTGAAATGCCATGTGTTTTCTAATACGCTGACATTTGCAAGCCTTCTACATGCTGACTCTATAAACTTCCCTTTCAGGGTCATGCAAAAAAGTTCAGCTACCCTTCTATCCATTGGTCGTTCTGCTAGCATAGCCTTTTCCCTGTGCTTTTCCAAACTTATCTTTTGGTCTAAGAATGATTTCCTGGAGTGGTTTACTATTTCCTGGAAAATGGAGGCTGATGAGTTGGCTAGACTCACTCTTTCGCTAAGACCAAAGTTGGGAAGCTACTGGTAGGAAGACCTTTCAAATAAACAGATAGGTCATGGTGAGTTCCTCAAACGTGAACATATTTAGGAAGAAGCTGACAAGGTCACGAAAGAGATTCAAGCACTGCACCCAGAATAGGAAAAGTGACCTCTGACACTCATCCTAGCCCCAAGAAATCTGAGGCATCTATGGAGTTCCTTGAGCGACTGGGTTCATGCCTTTAATAAATTCTCCCTAGAGACTTACCCCTTTCGGGGATGCAAAAAAGGAACTCATGTTAATTGGCAGCTTCTGCTGTTCCATTTCCAAACTAGGCCAGTTCCCTAGCCTGCATATTTTCCCCAAGAGCGACACAGGATGAGAATTGGCCCATTGTACTAATAATTGGCAAGGCAAATACTGTGCAAGCGATGGTTGTGGGGGCGGCTCTTCTCAGCAGTGTGTGCTCAGGGACCGGCTGCTGTACAATGCACCACAGAACATCCTGACTCAAAACAAAATCGCAACAGAGAACTCAAGGAGACAATGTGGGTTGTGGAGGGGAATTGAAGTGCTGGCTAAAGCTAAAGTCTTTTCCAGAGTGGGAGTTTGTTTTTTTTTCCAGAAACAGAGGCCTCAGTCTGAGGGTGATGTGGGTGTCCCCATAGGAAACTCTCATTGTGAGTTGAGTGTCTGATTGAACTGTGCATTGGAGAGTATGGGGTCTTATGTGCCAGGAAAATCAAGTCTGCTGTCCTCAGAGGTGCTTCTGACTCATGTTCCAGAAGAAACAGTTTTAAAAAGGAAAATCTTGGTTTCTGTCTAGTCCCTTCTCCTAGGGTGGTGATGGAAAATTGAGGGACTTTGGGCAGGATCCAGGGTGTGTCAACACTCAGTCTCTGAGATGGATAACTGCTGTGTGTTGGACTCATTATCATGGAGCACACAACTCTTAGCAGATGCACCTTGAAGTCACTGGTTGATCGTAGGCTGTTGCCCACTCTACCTAACAGAGATCAAGAACCCTGAACGTGAGCAGATTCTAGCTGAAGACAACAGCCTCCACGGTTTTAGGGAGAAGAAATGATTTCTACATCTGTTTGTCTCAGGGATTTTCCCCATCCATATCCTTCTACTTTGCCCTCCCTGGGTTCTCTTCAGTCTAGGAGCATTTAGTCAGAAGGGGAGGGAGCAAGCAGAGCAGAGTATCACTGTATGAATTCCCAGGTCCTTCCAGGTGGCCACTGCTCTTTACCTGTGAGGAGGGTAAGGATGAGGGTTTGTACCCAGTCTGAGGACATAGTGGGGATTTGCAGTCCTTTGGTCCTCAGACCTTGCTGAGGGTCAGGGTGAGAAGGTGAGTACATCCAGAGTGGATGGACTTACCTACCCT